TTCATCTAGTGGGGACCTACTATGCACCCTTCTGCCTTGGTTTCTCTGAGCACTGTGTTTCCATCCATGCTGACACACAGATCAGAAGTTCATGGTAATTGCCTGTTGCCCGTAGTCAGGGCTAAATAAGACTGTGTTCACAGGAGAGATAAGAAAGAAGTTAAGGGTCTGGAGAGACAGTTCAAAGTACTGGATGCTCTTGCAGAGGACTCGGGTTTCCATGCGGGGGTTTCCCAGCCCCCACAAGACGGCTAACAACCATCTGTAACTCCAGTTCCAGGGTAATGATGCCCTCTTCTGGTCTCCATGGGCATTGCGTGCATGAGTGTACTTACATGCAGGCGAAACACTCAAATAAATAATGAAGTCAATTCAAGAGGGACCTTGGGACTCATACGGGTTTTTAGTGATTTTGCTGAGCCCAGTGATGGAACACCATCTTTACAGCTAGAAGAGACTCTGGCAGATCTGAATGATACAGTGCAGCACGTAAATCGGCTCAGTAAGCTGTGAAACCACTCAGGAGGGAGAGAAGAGTCAAAAAGGGGCTGAGGAGAGAGTGCAGTGGGTAAAGCGCTTGTGTACAATGCTGAAGTCTTAAGTCTGATTTCTGGAACCCACAGGGGAAGGAGAGGGCTGACTCCTGAAAGCCGTCCCTGACCTTCATCACACGTATGCAGTGACACATGTACCTTCAGTCACACAACACACACATAATAAAATAATAATTATCAGAAAAGAAAAAGAAAGGGACTAGATCTGTCCTGGGGGTGGTCAGTTACCCTCCCCAGAGAATAGTGTGTGAACGTCTTTGTTGCTGAGAACATGCTGATGATGGACGGATGCACCACTTGGACAAGTCCTACATGCTACCTGTGGAGACTTTCACCAGAGAGTATAAATTGTGGCTGGGTGAGATGGAAGCCCCAAACTGTGCCTACCAAAACTTCCAGAAAAATGTCACAGAACTGGAAAGGTTCAGGTTATTCATCAAGGCCAAAGTCCTTTCAACAGCCTAACATGATCTCTAACATGATCTGTAAAGAAGCCATGTAGCTTGTGCAGAGCGACTGGTTTATAAGGAGATAAACAACGCAGTGTCCCACCCTCCGCACCCAACAACTTTCTTTTGATAGAACCGACACAAGTGACGGAGTCTTTTCATGCTGTGTAGGACCTTACACTTTTTTTTAATCTGTATGAGTGTATTGCCTGCATGTAGGTAAGTGCACCCATGTCGTGCAATGCCCACGGAGGTCAGAAGAGGATGTCAGATTCCCTGGAACTGGAGTTACGGATGGTTGTTAGCTGCACCCTAACCCGGGGTGCTGGGAATCAAACCCAGGTCCTCTGCAAGAACAGCCAGTGCTCTGAACCACTGAGCCATCTCCAGCCCTAGGACCTTACACTATTTTGATCCTCTTAGCTGCTAAATCCTAAGCCCAGTTAGCACTAAGCTGGAACAGATGTTCATGGGTCCACCTTGGTAAATGGTTTATCTAATACCAGCCCGAGTATCTTACAGATTTGGGAAAACATCTGGAAGAACAATTTTTAAAAAAAAGGTTAAAGAGTTTGAATACAGGAACCCATTGTGGGTAGTAAAAGGTACTTCCGGGAGCCATGAGGTGGCCAGGTGAAACCCCTGTGCTGGGCGGACGGCTTCTCTGCAAGACCCCCAGGCTCCCACTCAACACAGCCCATCGCCAATACTATGTGACCTGCCTGTCAAATTGCCTTCTAAACATTTGTGTTTAGATTGTTGCTGCTGTTGACCTTGGTCAGGGAAACTCCTTTTTTGGAGTTTATTGTGGAGATTCGTAACCAGACAAACTGCTTATAATAAGTGGCTGCTGATGAGACACAGTGACCCAATGATCAGAAAACTCTGTGTGTGTGTGT